CATTTTATGTTCAACACTATGATGTGATTCATTAGGAATATATCTGCGTGTGGTCGTATTTTTCCTATAGATATCAAATTCCAGGCAGTTATTAATATTTTTAATAACTAATACATCTAGAAATGGTAATCTGTCGTTGTTCTCAATTTCATGCGTAAATTTAATGGAAGGAAAACGATTATTTAACTTAGAAATAAAATTATCTATGGTGTCTGAATGTGTGTCAGAAACAGCAAAAATATCATCCACATACCTAAACCATACTCTTGGAAAATACTCAAACTGATTCTTAGCCTCCACTTCAAGCCAGCTCATGAATAAATTAGCCAAAAATGGAGACAATGGATTACCCATTGCTGTACCTTCCTAATGATTTCTGAAAATTCAACTTTTCAAGTGGAGAAAGATACGTCTAAATATTTTTCGATACCGTTTGATAGAGAGTTATCCCGTGGTCTAAAAGGAATTTTTAAGAATGTCAATTATAAACTTGTGTATAGTGCTAATAATAAATTACAACAATTATTAGGTAATCCACAAGATAAAACACCTCCACTGGAAAGGTCGGGTATTTATGAAATTTCTTGTAAATATTGTAACCAGAAATATGTTGGGCAAACTAGAAGATCAATATTAACTAGATTTAAAGAACATTTAGCTCAGATAAGATATGGTAGACCGGATAAATCTTGCGTTGCCGAACATATTGTTGATAAAGAACATTGTATAGATCTTAATAATTTCAAATTAATTAAACAAGTCTCAAATTACAGGCAATTAGATGCATAATAAAGCATCAGAATTAATAAATGTAAAGATAGTATGAACAGAGACAACGGTCCAATTCCTTCAAGTTTTTTGTTCCTACTACTCTAGTAGCGGAAATCTAACTGTTACGCTCAGTGGGCTCTGACTCGGTTGGCTAGATTTTGCCACGCCCATTCGGTGCCCACTGAGCGAGTATATAAACGCTCAACTTGTAGATTGTACTTTAGTTTATAATCATCTGCTGATGATGCTAACATGGTTAGCGAAACGCGTCCAGTGTAAAAGTAAAAGTGTTTTGGTGTATTGTGGTGATTTAGTGTTTTTATTTTTCTTCCTTGTAAATTTAATCTACCACCTATGTTGTTATATTATGAAGATATTGTGTCTTTAACTAAAAATTAAAAACTCATAGACTCTCTAGAATCTTACTGTTACTCAAGTCCAGAGACAATATGCCTTTCCAGATCTATACACTTTGTTTAAATATAATTATAAAATAAAATAATAAAAAATAAACAGAGAAAAAAGCAAGAAGCTGCCAAAAATGATATTTTTTCAGAGAAAATTAATACAGAACTAATAAAAATGTGTTTTCTAAATGAATACTATGACGCCTCATATAAAAGAATAGTATTTCACTATTTTTATATATATTTTTTATTTCGTATCTCCATGGTAGAAAAATAAATTATTATAATAAAATAGTAATTTTATTGTTTAATAAATATTGTTATCCAATACAGGGAATTCTATTTTTATAAATACTAATTCAATGCAATATATTCGAGAAAAAACCTCATAATAAGCAATTCCATTTGTTTCTTGGCTTTGTACATGATTTTATTAAACTAAAACAATCTCACTACTAAAAACGGCGTCCAGTTGGCTTGAAAATGACGATCCGACGACATTCCCCATACAATTTTACACAATGACAGCGATCTTCATTTCAAAGCCATCACTGACGCCGTTTTTTTTTAAATTAAAACTCCAAAAATTAAAACAAAATATATTAAATCTTTATTATATCAGTTATACTTATGTTACAAAAATCAGGGTTACATTAAAAATAATTCTGTTTTTTTTGACATAATAATTTTTAAAATAATCGAATATTTTTATATTTTCTTTAAAGATTTCATCTAAGAAGTTATAACTACAAGTTTAGAATAGCAGCTTTTTCATAGTAATATACATACAACTTTGCTCTTACAGTTGAGAATAAATTATTACAAGTAGTATTAAATTGTCTGTATTTTTTTTAAATAGTATACAATATAAACAATTCACATAATAAAAACAGCGTCATACTAGGCGGCATACTACATTTTAGATTGAGATTTACTATGTCTGTCGCTGAAGTTATATACCGGGTGTCCCACTTAGGATGGATACCAGCCAATATCTTGATAAATTTATATTGAATCCTCCTTACAGGGTGTGTCATTAAAATAAGACATTTTTATTTTTATTGTTATTTTTTTTAAGTACATACTTACGACGCCACTGGATAAACAACTAGTTTATTATCATTAACCAATTATCAATTAATAATCGTTTTTTTTATGGTGGTTTGGTCGAAGATGTCGACTTTTAGTTCGTTATAGTTTTATAAATCTTTGTTCAGATCATATTTTTCAAAGTTAATAGGTGATTGTTTTTCCTCAATAAAACAAATAAAAATTTAAATTATTTTGTAACTCATTTTATTCATTTGTATTAGCAACTTAAAAAACAATCTTTTTAAGTAAACAAAATAAATTGAAAATATTTAGTTTTTTTTAGTAGTGTATCTTAATTATTATGGAAGCTATCTGAAAACTTAAATCGATATTATTAATTGATAATTGGTTATAATTGATTATTGATAATAAACGTGTTGTTTATCCAGTGGCGTCGTAAGTTCTTAAAAAAATAATAACAAAAATAAAAATGTCTTACTTTATTAACGCACCCTGTATCAATATTTATCACAATTAGAACTTAAGTATCTTAGGTAAGGAGGATTCAATATAATTTACCAGATTTGAAATAAATACTGTCCTAATGGTAGTTTACTCTTGACTCGAAAAACACCGAACCCCATTAAAACGTACGTCTATGAGGTATCGCATTTCTTACCCTGGGCAAAACGTACGTCTTATAGCCATACAGCTTCCTGCCAAAAATGAAAAAGATCGCTCAACAAACAACCAAGATATTGGCTTGTATCCATCTTATATGGGACACCCTGTAGGATACACCAGTGGCAGATCCTGATTGTAAAATAATAATAGCCTCTATAAGAAATACTCTATGCCTACTGTGACGGAGTTTTCATCTCATTATTCGGTATAGTAAATACATATCAGGTATTAGGTTTTTATTTGCTTTTCGTTTTTTTTATATAGGGTTGTTCACCACATACGACACAGAGTATTGTAGCTAAACGATGAGATTTTTACAAATTGTAAGTTTTGGGTTCGATGAAGGGCTATTAGAGGTACAATTTAAAAATAATTTTACAAGATACAGAGTGTCCCAAATAAGTAAAAAATATCAAAGTTGTATTTTTTTAAATGGAATACCCTGTATATTATTACATTTTTAGTTTCTACGATTAAAATAAAGGTAACTTTGATTAAGGTTTATTATACTTAAACCTTACCGTTTTTGAAATATTTTCAATTTTGTGAAATTGCAGTAAAAATTTTAAGGCTTCATTTCTCCAAGGGTATCAAAGTTTTTAATACTAAACATTTACTGAAGTTTATTTACTGATCAGTTATTGTGTTGCAATAATAAAAATAATACTACCTTATACAGAGTGTCTAAAAATTTATTTTAAATAATTATTAGCTTCAAACGGCAATAACTTGTTTAATTTAAATGGAACGCCCTGTATATTTTAGGAGAATCAGATGCACAATTTAATTGTCTATCAAATTATTCTATTATACCATTTTTTACCTATTCCTTCAAGTTTTCGTAGAAAATGCATTTTCTTATAATTTATACCTCATTTATCAATATACCCATGGAATATTGACATTTTAGATTGTTTTTAAAGCAACAAATGTACAAAATGTACAGGCTAGTAATATTATCGTTTTTAGCAAAACGTCTGCGTTGTCTGCAAAAAGAAAACTATTTAAATCTTTATAAAAGAGTATACCATTAATTAAATATAACACCATTATTTCCGCCCATATACTAATTAATTACCTACATACTCAATTGTGTGTTCGTTAATAAATTATTCTAAATAAATGTGGATTTGAGTCAGAAATAAATATAATAATAAGTTATCAAAATTAAAGTCTCTGTGGTTATAAATACGCATTTATTAAAAAATGAAATATCATTTTTAAGGTGTTACTTTTTATCACACTGTCTAATACCCATACAAAATTCAGTTTTTTAGTATTTGGAGCAATTATTATTAATCAACGCAAACAGTCAGTTAATGTAGTTTGAATACTGTAATCATATTAATTGGTCCTCTTTAACAAATATTTAAACAGTTTTTTTTTTTATTTTTTAATGAAATAAACAAACTATATCGACAATATTAGTATCTGTACTCTTTAAAAATTTGGTACATCTTTAAAAATAATCTAAAATGTCAGTATTCCATGGGTATATTGATAAATGAGTTCTAAATTACAAGAAAATACATTTTCTACGGAACCTTGAAGAAATAAGTAAAAAATGGTATAATACAATTTGATAGACAATTAAATTGTGCATCTGATTCTTATAAAATATACAGGGTGTTCCATTTAAATTAAACAAGTTATTGTCGTTTAAAACTAATAATTATTTTAAATAAATATTTAGACACTCTGTATAAGGTAGTATTATTTTTATTATTCCAACACAATAACTGATCAATAAATAAACTTCAGTAAATATTTAGTATTAAAAACTTTGATACCCTCGGAGAAATGAAGCCTTAAAATTTATACTGCAATTTCACAAAATTGAAAATATTTCAAAAACGGTAAGGTTTAAGTATAATAAACCTTAATCAAATTTACCTTTATTTTAATCGTAGAAACTAAAAATGTAATAATATACAGGGTGTTCCATTTAAAAAAATACAACTTTGATATTTTTTACTTATTTGGGACACTCTGTATCTTGTAAAATTATTTTTAAATTGTACCTCTAATAGCCCTTCATCGAACCCAAAACTTACAATTTGTAAAAATCTCATCGTTTAGCTACAATACTCCGTGTCGTATGTGGTGAACAACCCTGTATACAGGTATATATTTGGTCAATTCTATGGTTAAATTCATCACAATATCTGTACAAAATACTTAAAAAAAATAAGAAAACAAATTAACAAAAATAAATACAAACGTAAAAAGTATATATATATTATATGTAACTGTATTACTAATAACAACAAAGAATAACATTTTCTGATTTACAATAATACCTTTCTTTATAACACAAAAACTAAATGGTATTCCATATGGGTTGCTATTAAAAAATAATATTGTTGAAAAGTATTTTGTATTTATATCTGATTGTTTTAATAAATATATTACAAATTACAATACAAATGCAGTGCTATCCATCAAATAAATGTATTTGTTCTAAAGGGATTGAAATTTCTTCCAAACATTTTACAGCGAGTTGGTTGAATTCGCTAGGTCCACAAATAAAAGTGAATATGTCCTAAAAAAATGGATGATATTATTATAGAAAGTACTCAAATTTAGCAGAGGAATATTATGTAAAGATATTTGAGCTAGATGCTACAGGGCGTTCAAAATAAATTTATAAAATTTCGAATAATTTATTTAAAAAAAAATCACTTTTTTTAAATGACGCACCCTATATATTATTATTTTTTCTGATTCAACCTTTCAAATAGTGTTTTAAAAATAGGTGTGATATGGAATTACAAGAAAGTGTTTACCCTTATCGTGTATCCAGTGTCTTGGAGATGTTCCTGTATGGCATCCTGGATTAATTCGGAATTTATGTGACCCTTTTTACCATCCCACGTGTTATCAGCCGAAGATAAGACATTGGTAACCTTAAATCTACAAAAAAATGTTAAAAATTGAATTAAACATATTTTTTTCAGTACAATATATTTATAGATTACATGTAGAAATTTTGTTAAAAGAAAAAAAAGTAAAAAATAATGTTTTTGGAGTGATATAAAGTAAAAATCGAGTAAACTTCGTTGACACATTATTAAATTCTGCCTTACTCGTTTTTTTACTCCGCAATAAAATCACAATATATCGAGTAAAAATATCGTGTAAATGTAACCTGCGTAAAATTTACTTGAATTTTTACAAGGATTTTTTTTTTATTTTATTCTAAAAATATTAACACAAGACTAAATTGTTCCAAGTAATCGAGTAAATGTTGCCCTCCTAAAATTTACTCGATTTTTTACTAGGATGTCCTTAATTTTACTCGAAAACATCAATAATATTCGAGTAAATAATTCACAAAATTTACTCGACAATCGAGTAAAATTTACTCGATATGATTTACTTAGTATATTTATAGTGGACTATATTAACAGGCGAGTAAATTGTTTGAAAATTTACCCGATAATCCAGTAAAAATATCTTGTATTTTCGGAGTTACTCGATATATTTTACTCAGATTTTTAGCTCTGAATAATCGAGTAAATATTACCTTCGTAAAACTTACTCGATTTTTTACTAGGATGTCCTTAATTTTACTCAAAAATACCAATAATATTCGAGTAAATAATTCTCAAAATTTACTCGACAATCGAGTAAAATTTCCTCGATATGTTTTACTTAGTATATTTTTACTGGACTATATTAACAGGCGAGTAAATTGTTTGAAAATTTACTGGATAATCGAGTAAAAATATCTTGTAATTTTCGGAGTTACTCGATATATTATTTTACTTAGATTTTTAGCTCTGAATAATCGAGTAAATGTTACCGTCGTAAAATTTACTCGATTTTTTACTAAGATGTCATTAATTTTACTCAAAAATAATTATTACATACACAATATTATAATATTACGCAACCAATAATATTCGAGTAAATAACTCTCAAAATTTACTCGACAATCGAGTAAAATTTACTCGATATGTTTTACTTAGTATATTTTAATGGACTACATTAAGACGCGAGTAAATTGTTTGAAAATTTACTCGATAATCGAGTAAAAATATCTTGTAATTCTCGGAGTTACTCGATATATTTTACTAGATTTTTAGCTACGAGTAATCGAGTAAATCTTACCTTCGTAAAATTTACTCGATTTATTACTAGGATGTCTTAATTTTACTCTAGAATACTGCTAATATACTGCTCAAAATTTACTCGATATGTTTTACTTAGTATATTTCTTAATGGACTATATTAAGAAGCGAGTAAATTGTTTGAAAATTTACTCGATAATCGAGTAAAAATATCTTGCAATTCTCGGAGTTACTCGATATATTTTACTAGATTTTTAGCTCTGAGTAATCGAGTAAATGTTACCTTCGTAAAATTTACTCGATTTTTTACTAGGATATCCTTAATTTTACTCTAGAATACAACTAATATTCGAGTAAATAATTCTCAAAATTTACTCGATATATTTTACTTAGTATATTTCTTAATGGACTATATTAAGACGCGAGTAAATTGTTTGAAAATTTTCTCGATAGTCGAGTAAAAATATCTTGTAATTCTTGGAGTTACTCGATATATTTTACTAGATTTTTAGCTCCCAGTAATCGAGTAAATGTTACCTTCGTAAAATTTACTCGATTTTTTACTAGTATGTCCTTAATTTTACTCTAGAATACTACTAATATTCGAGTAAATAATTCTCAAAAGTTACTCGATATGTTTCATTTAGTAGCCTTCTTAATGGACTATATTAAGACGCGAGTAAACTGTTTGAAGGTTTACTCGATAATCGAGTAAAAATGTCTTGTAATTCTCGGAGTTACTCGATATATTTTACTAGATTTTTTGCTCCGAGTATTCGAGTAAATCTTACCTTCATAAAATTTACTCGATTTTTTACTAGGATGTCCTTAATTTTACTCAAAAATACCAATAATATTCGAGTAAATAATTCTCAAAATTTACTCGATATGTTTTACTTGGTATATTTATTAATGCACTATATTAAGTTGCGAGTAAATTGTTTGAAAATTTACTCGATAATCGAGTAAAAATATCTTGTAATTCTCGGAGTTACTCGATATATTTTACTAAATTTTTAGCTCCGAGTATTCGAGTAAAAGTTACCTTCATAAAATTTACTCGATTTTTTACTAGGATGTCCTTAATTTTACTCTAGAATACAACTAATATTCGAGTAAATAATTCTCAAAATTTACTCGATATGTTTTACTTGGTATATTTCTTAATGCACTATATTAAGTTGAGAGTAAATTGTTTGAAAATTTTCTCGATAGTCGAGTAAAAATATCTTGTAATTCTCGGAGTTACTCGATATATTTTACTAGATTTTTAGCTCCGAGTAATCGAGTAAATGTTACCTTCGTAAAATTTACTGGATTTTTTACTAGGATGTCCTTAATTTTACACTAGAATACCACTAATATATGAGTAAAGAATTCTCAAAATTTAATCGATATGTATTACTTAGTATATTTCTTAATAGACTCTATTAAGGCGCGAGTAAATTGTTTGAAAATTTACTCGATAATCGAGTAAAAATATCTTGTAATTCTCGGAGTTACTCGATATATTTTATTAGATTTTTAGCTCCGAATAATCGAGTAAATGTAACCTTCGTAAAATTTACTAGATTTTTTACTAGGATCTCCTTAATTTTACTCTAGAATACCACTAATATTCCAGTGAATTATTCTCAAAATTACTCGACAATCGAGTAAAATTTACTAGGTATGTTTTACTTAGTATATTTTAATGGACTACATTAAGACGCGAGTAAATTGTTTGAAATTTTACTCGATAATCGAGTAAAAATATCATGTAATTTTAAGGCATAAGAAGGCACTCTAAGGCATAGTAATCGAGTAAATTATGTTATCTTTTTATTAGATTTCACTCTAAAATACTACTAGAATAATACTACTAATACTCGAGTAATTTATTCTCGACATTTACTCGACAATCGAGTAAAATTTACTCGATATTTTTTGCCTAGTATTTTTTACTCAACTTTACGAAAATTAAAGTTTACCTTCTATCTTTCTTTGAGAGTTCTTCTAGTTGAGCTCTAAACAATATGTCCTTTTCTGTTCTGTTATAAAATAATAGTCTTACAAATTGGCTAAAAATAAAGAAAAAAACTATATAAATATATCATTTTACAAACTATAACAATCAAAATTGTTAAACATATTAAATGAAATACTACAGTAAAAGAAATAAAAAATAAGCCATTCTTTTGTATTTGTTGGCTGTGTTAATTTAAAAATTGCTGATAAATTTTAGCATTTTCTACTAACCATTTCTTTATTTTTCGTTCCAGCAAAAACATAAGTAGGCCCAGCATGGGAGTTATACCAGTTCCGCCAGCTAACATTATAAAGGTGTCCCTTTTTTCTATAACCTTCAAGTCCATCCCACCAAAAGGTTTAGAGATCACAAAAGAGTCACCAACTTCCTTATCTAAAAAGACATTTTAAAAATCATTTTGAAAATAACGGGTATGAATGTATACAGGGTTGCTCACCACATACGACACGGAGTATTGTAGCTAAACGATAATATTTTTACAAATTGTAAGTTTTGGGTTTGTTGAAGGACTATTAGAGCTACAGTTTAAAAATATTAGAGATATTAATATTTAAGATACAGAGTGTACCAAATAAATAAAAAATATCAAAGTTGTATTTTTTTAAATGTAACACCCTGTATATTATCACATTTTTAGTTTCTACGATTAAAATAAAGGTAAATTTGATTTAGGTTTATTACACTTAAACCTTACCGTTTTTGAAATATTTTTAATTTTGTGAAATATTTATACAGAGTGTCTAGAAATTTATTTTAAATAATTATTAACTTTAAATGGCAATAACTTGTTGAATTTAAATGGAACACCCTGTATATTTTATGAGAATCAGATGCAACATTTAATTGTCTATCAAATTGTAGTATGCCATTTTTTACCTATCTCTTCAAGTTTCCGTAGAAAATGCATTTTCTTATAATTTAGAAATTATTTAACAATATACCCATGGAATACTGACATTTTAGATTATTTTTAAAGATGTACCAAATTTTTAGAGAGTACTGATACTAATATTGTCCATATAATTCGTTTATTTCATTAAAAAATAAAAAAAAATGTTTAAATATTTGTTAAAGAGGACCAATTAATATGATTCCAGTATTCAAACTACATTAATTGATTGTTTGCGTTGATTAATAATTACCCCAAATACTAAAAAACTGAGTTTTGTATGTGTATTAGATAGTGTGGTAAAAAGTAACACCTTAAAAATGATATTTAATTTTTTGACAAATGCTTATTTATAACAGAGACGTTCATTTTCATAACTTATTATTATTAAGAATAATTTATTAACGAACACAATTAAGTATGTAATGAATTACTATTTGGGCGAAAATAATGGTGTTGTTTTTAATTAATGGTATACTCTTTTATAAAGATTTAAATAATTTTCTTGTTGCATACAAATGGGCTAGTAATATTATCGTTTTGCTAAAAACGATAATATTACTAAGCTGTACATTTTGTACATTTTTTGCTTTAAAAACAACCTAAAATGTCAATATTCCATGGGTATATTGATAAATGAGGTCTAAATTATAAGAAAAAGCATTTTCTCCGAAAACTTGAAGGAATAGGTAAAAAATGGTATAATACAATTTGATAGACAATTGAATTGTGCATCTGATTCTTCTAAAATATACAGGGTGTTCCATTTAAATTAAAGAAGTTATTGGCGTTTAAAGCTAGAAATTATTTAAAATAATTTTTTAGACACTTTGTATGAGGTAGTATATTACTTTTTATTATTATAACACAATAACTGATCAATAAATAAACTTCAGTAAATATTTAGTATTAAAAACTTTGATACCTTTGGAGAAATGAAATTTTTACTGTAATTTCACAAAATTGAAAATATTTCAAAAACGGTAAGGTTTAAGTATAATAAACCTTAATCAAATTTACCTTTATTTTAATCGTAGAAACTAAAAATGTAATAATATACAGGGTGTTCCATTTAAAAAAATACAACTTTAATATTTTTTATTTATTTGGGACACTCTGTATCTTGTAAAAATATTTTTAAATTGTTGCTCTAATAGTCCTTCAACGAACCCAAAACTTACAATTTGTAAAAATCTAATCGTTTAGCTACAATACTCCGTGTCGTATGTGGTGAACAACCCTGTATAATAAATATATTTATCTAGCTGTCTTGCAAAATGTTGTGTGGGGCTTCACACCCTGTATTTCTGTATAATCTAGTATATGAAAATAAGCCTTAAAAAGATATTTAGAAATTTACCAGTGATGTACCGACTGATTCTGCCTTCAGGATACCGTTTCACCATCAAGCAAACATTGTGGTTTTTTCGTTCGTGAGGAACAAATTTTTCAAACAAATTATCAGGCACAGGGGTGTAACTTCGGGAAATTTCATTCTCTGAAAGAAAACAGAAGAGAATAATGATTTTTCAAATTTGGCAAGTGTATACAGGGTGAAAGAAAAATCTTCTACTTACCATTCATAGTTCCAAACAATCTAATATGCTTTCCAACGGGTACAACCACTATACTCTCATCTTGCTTATCTAACATAAACAAATACGTATTGTAATTAACAGGAATTTTCTTTATTATGAAATATTTAGATTTGATTTGTCCGGCCGAGCTATTGTTGTTTGCTGGTTTGGATTGCTGTTTTAATACACCATAGTTCTCCCAAACTCCGCTAACATATTTCCTGAAAAAAAGAAGTTTTTAATGAACGATTTAGTGACGTTTTGTTTTTGAGATACAATGGTCCACTTTATTTTTGAAATATGGACCTGAATTTTTTATTTTCTTGACAGTGATGATAAAAATATACAGGGTTGTTCACCACATACGACACGGAGTATTTTAGCTAAACGATTATATTTTTACTAAAATTTTATTAAGTTTTGGGTTCAATGAAGGACTATTAAAAGTACAATTTAAAAATAATTTTACAAGATACAGAGTGTCCCAAATAAGTAAAAAATATCAAAGTCGTATTTTTTTAAATGGAACACCCTGTATATTATTACATTTTTAGTTTCTACGATTAAAATAAAGGTAAATTTGATTAAGGTTTATTATACTTAAACCTTACCGTTTTTGAGATATTTTCAATTTTGTAAAATTGCAGTAAAAATTTTAAGACTTCATTTCTCCAAGGGTATCAAAGTATTTAATACTAAATATTTACTGAAGTTTATTTATTGATCAGTTATTCTGTTACAATAATAAAAACAATACTACCTTATACAGAGTGTCTAAAAATTGATTTTAAATAATTTCTAGCTTTAAACCCCAATAACTTCTTTAATTTAAATGGAACGCCCTGTATATTTTGGGAGAATCAGATGCACAATTTAATTGTCTATCATTGTGTTATACCATTTTTTACCTATCCCTTCAAGGTTTTGTAGAAAATGCATTTTCTTATAATTTAGACCTCATTTATCAATATACCCATGGAATATTGACATTTTAGATTGTTTTTAAAGCAACAAATGTACAAAATGTACAGGCTATTAATATTATCGTTTTCAGCAAAACGATAATATTACTAGCCCATTTGTATGCAAAAAGAAAACTATTTAAATCTTTATAAAAGTATATACCATTAATTAAATATAACACCATTATTTCCGCCCATATAATAACTAATTTCATACTTAATTGTGTTCGTTAATAAATTAATCTAAATAAATGTGGATTTGAGTCAGAAATCAATATAATAATATAATAATAAGTTATCAAAATGAACGTCTCTGTTGTTATAAATAAGCATTTATTAAAAAATGAAATATCATTTTTAAGGTGTTACTTTTTACCACACTGTCTAATACACATACAAAACTCAGTTTTTTAGTATTTGGGGCAATTATTATTAATCAACGCAAACAGTCAGTTAATGTAGTTTGAATACTGGAATCATATTAATTGGTCCTCTTTAACAAATATTTAAACAGTTTTTTTTTATTTTTTAATGAAATAAACGAATTATATCGGTAATATTAGTATCTGTACTCTTTAAAAATTTATTACATCTTTCAAAATAATCTAAAATGTCAATATTCCATGGGTAAATTGATAAATAAGTTCTCAATTACAAGAAAATGCATTTTCTACGGAAACTTAAAGAGATAGGTAAAAAATGGTATAATATAATTTGATAGACAATTAAATTTTGCATCTGATTCTCCTAAAATATACAGGGTGTTCCATTTAAATTAAACAAGTTATTGCCGTTTAAAGCTAATAAATATTTAAAATAAATTTTTAGACACTCTGTATAAGGTAGTATTTTTTATTGTTCCAACACAATAACTGATCAATAAATAAATTTCAGTAAATATTTAGTATTAAAAACTTTGATACCCTTGGAGAAATGAAGCCTTAAAATTCTTACTGCAATTTCACAAAATTGAAAATATTTCAAAAACGGTAAAGTTTAAGTATAATAAACCTTAATCAAATTTACCTTTATTTTAATCGTAAAAACTAAAAATGTAATAATATACAGGGTGTTCCATTTAAAAAAATACAACTTTGATATTTTTTACTTCTTTGGGACACTCTGTATCTTGTAAAATTATTTTTAAATTGTACCTCTAATAGTCCTTCATCGAACCCAAAACTTACAATTTGTAAAAATCTCATCGTTTAGCTACAATACTCCGTGTCGTATGTGGTGAACAACCCTGTATAATAAGGAATATGTATTACTATAAGATACAATAGTGGAGTGCCCAGAGACTTTTACCTCGGAATTCAATTACTGTGAATGTATTAATGTAAAATCTTCTGTATTGTGTTTTATAGATAAAATACTAAAATGTTTACCCATTTTTTTTCGTTGCTTTTAATTTTTTATTTTAGTAATTTTAGTAAATTCTTAATTATTTCCTTCTTAATATTTTGATTTTTTAATTCTTTTTCTAAGTAAATTTATCGAAATAAATAAATCTAATACATAAGCTATACCTATTCTGCTTATATTCTAATCATTGAAATTTTGATTGAAATCGAATTATACAGGGTGGCGCGTCATATACGACGCGGTTTTTGCAAGGAGAACAAAAGTTTGTATTGAAGTGAAATTTTCTGAGCTTATGCAAGTCAATTTAAAGTATTTTCTAAAATTTTGTAGAGTTCTACAGGGTGTCCCCAAATAAAGTTACACATCAAAGTTATGTTTTTTGTAATGGAACACCCTATTCTAAAAGTGTTAGAAAGTATAATTTGTGAAAATTCTAAAAATAAAAATGAAAAAGTAAATATTTTGATATCTCCAGAAGGTCTAACTTCCAGCTTAAAAAACTTTTTAGACGTTAAGTTTTTAAGAAAACATTAAAGAACACGTCACTATCAAACATTCTACATTCTATATGAAATACCCTGTATACCTGAACGTCAACTCCACTTTCCCAGTTTCCAATGTCATTCTCACGTCACAAGGCCAATGAACTCTATCGAAAAACGTCATTTCATTCCTGAATATCGTCTCATCGTAAGTCAGAGTAATCTGCAAAGCTGTCCCAGAAGTTGGAGTTTTGTGTACTTCAACCAATGGGTTTGAGAAAGATCTTGTATAGAAAATAATTGTTATTGAGTCGAGTTTCTGTATCCAGTCAAATCTTGGCAGTGGATGACTTGGTAACTCTGAATCTTCTTTGATAGGAGACTCTACTACAAAAAATTAAAAAAAAATTGTTTCATGTAAAAAGGAGAAACTAGAAGTTATAATACCTATATTATCTTTTAACTCTCTTTTTGACACAAGGTGTCATACATAAGTCCAAATATTTTAATTGGTAGTACATTTTGTCGACCCCAGAAAAATACTCATAAGTTTTTTTTTTGTTAAAAAAATTGTACGAAATTTTTAATTTTTCTTGACATTTTCCGGGAAATTTTAAAAAACTTTTTAGAGCTGCAGGTTCATTACCCTAATGTTTCTTGACGGTGTTTCGAAGCCTTGCAATGTTGCCACCTCATACGTTACCAGATTCTACATATTAGTGTGTTTATAAATTCAAAGTAATTTTAATTTTGTATTAAATACATTACAAAAATGAATTTTAATTATACCAGTTGCATTATTAATAATACTAGAAGAATGAAGAATAAAAATGACACTTTTGCGACTTTTTTCAAAAACATGCGATTTTTTCAAACGCCCCAAATAATTTTTTAAACAATTTCAAACATTCCAAATAATATAAAAAAATTAAATGTAATACCTTTTATGTAATTATATATCGAGAAACTATGGTTACACTCGTTGAATTTGACACTTCATGTCAGTTTAATAGTATATTTTCGTACTTTTGTGCTTAGGCGCAAAAGTGCTTTACTTTTATGCCTAGGCGTTAAAATGACATTTTTATATTGTCAATCACGTCGCAAAAATTAATACTTTTGTGACGTTTGAAAAAGAACTTATTTTTTTACCATATACTAATACATTCTTAGACATATTTTTAACTAAACTTGAAAAATATAAATCTTAAAAATTATTACAGATTAAATTGTCACAATTACAAAGTATTTTCAAGCAAGTTAGGTGTAGACTTTTTTGTCGATGTGGCAACACAGGACGTCCAAAAAGTTGAGAGTCAGCTGACTGCCGGTTGATATCAGCGGTTCTCAAAATGTAAGCATTATTTTAACTCGGTTATTTTCAAAAGTTACTGGACTATTTTAAATAAAATATATAACAAGATCACTGTAGCAACAAATTCAAATAGAAATAAAAATAAATAAACAAAAAAGTGGGTGTACAGTACGTCTGTCCGTTCTGTAGGTACGGGGTATCCGTGAGAGGGGAAACGATATCAATGACAAAAAAATCAATGATTACCTTGAGAATCGGGTGTTTTAGGGGAAGACACTTCCACTTTAGTGCTAGAAGGTTTTTCTCCAAAAAACAGTGCTTCTGTATCAACATTGGGATCGATAGCTACCAGCTTTCCTACATAGCACTTTTGAAGAATTTGTTCGTAGTTAACCCACGGATGTATCTAGAAAAATAATAGTTATTTAATCTAAGTCGACTTAGTTGTACCGGGTGTTTCCAAAAAGTGGCTCACCCCTATAACTTTTTTATTTTTTCAGATAAAAAAAACGAGATTTGGTATATGACTGTTATTTCCTGTTTCACTGGAAATAACTACAATTTTGGATTTTTAAATGGCACCCTCGGTATTTTTTTACTTTATTCGATAGAAAATGACACGCTGAATAGAATGACATATCATATGTCTACATTCTCGTTTAAAATAATCATCTAGAGTGCCATGGCTGTGTTAAAAACACTAATTTTTAATCAAGGAACCTTGAAAAATAGATTTGGTCATCTAATGTTTTTCGTGTTTTGTCCTGGACGGTTAAAAGATGCCCAAATCGTATTTTTAATCATAGATCATTTTTTTTTAAATGGAACAAAGGTAGCTCATTAGCAAATTTGGAAAAACCATTTTTTACGAATAATTTGGTACCATACACTTGGTATTTTGAATCAAATTGTCGTTATTAATCGTATATCACAATTTCAAATAAACTAATGCCAAAATGTAAAAAGTTACATCAAATGAAGTAAAAAATACCCGCGGTATGGTGCCATTTGAAAATCAAAAGTTGTAGTTATTTCCGTTAAAACAAGAAGTGACCGAAAACAATTGAATACGTCAGTCAATCCCAATCAATCAATGATTTATGTCATATATTAACATACCAAGTGGAGGCTAGGAATCAGTTTGAGTATTTTCCAAGAGTATGGTTTGACACACATTCAGACACCATAGATAATTTTATTTCTAAGTTAAATAATCGTTTTCCTTCCATTAAATTTACACATGAAATTGAGAACAACGACAGATTACCATTTCTAGATGTATTAGTTATTAGAAATACTAATAATTGCCTGGAATTTGATATCTATAGGAAAAATACCACTACACGCAGATATATTCCTAATGAATCACATCATAGTGTTGAACATAAAATGGTTTGAGTTTAAATTTCTTAGTTCATAAATTACTTAGTTTCCCACTTTCCAACGAAAGATATGAAATAGAAAGAGATTACATTAGGAATGTAGCGGAGTGTATAATGGATATTCTCCTTCACTAGTTGATAAATTAATTAGAAAACATAGGTATAGGTTAATGATTTCTGAAAATTCGACTCTTCAAGCGGAGAAAGATACGTCTAAATATTTTTCGATACCGTTTGATAGAGAGTTATCCCGTGGTCTAAAAGGAATTTTTAAGAATGTCAACAATGTACATGTGTATAGTGCTAATAATAAATTACAACAATTATTAGGTAATCCAAAGGATAAAACACCTCCACTGGAAAGGTCGGGTATTTATGAAATTTCGTGTAAAGATTGTAATCAGAAATATGTTGGGCAAACTAGAAGATCAATATTAACTAGATTTAAAGAACATTTGGCTCAGATAAGATATGGTAGACCGGATAAATCTTGCGTTGCCGAACATATTGTTGATAAAGAACATTGTATAGATCTTAATAATTTAAAATTAATTAAACAAGTCTCAAATTACAGGCAATTAGATGCATATGAAAGCATCAGAATTAATAAATGTAAAGATAGTATGAACAGAGCCAACGGTCCAATTCCTTCAAGTTCTTTGTTCCTACTACTCTAGTGGCGGAAATCTAACTGTTACGCTCAGTGGGCTCTGACTCGGTTGGCTAGATTTTGCCACGCCCACTCGGTGCCCACTGAGCGGGTATATAAACGCTCAACTTGTAGATTGTACTTTAGTTTATAATCATCTGCTGATGATGCTAACATGGTTAGCGAAACGCGCGTCCAGTGTAAAAGTAAAAGTGTTTTGGTGTATTGTGGTGATATAGTGTTTTTATTTTGCAACATACCAAATCTCGTTTTTTTTATCTGAAAAGTCACTTTAGTGAAACACCCGGTATAGAAAACACTGAATCGAAATGCCAACAAAATATAGAGATCAAATATGACAGCAACTGTCAAATCGATTTGGTCTCAATAATTATTCTAGATCACTCATCCCGTGATTTTGCAAAAAAAAACTGGAAAATATAGGTACCTTAAAATCGAAAAAAAGACGGCGTCACAGTGACCTTTGAAATCGAATAACTACCTGTTCGAAAAGCGTGGTTGCGTCAATTCCAGCACCTTTCATCAGTTCCTCTTCACCTCCTGGATGAAAGGGAAAATACTCAGTAATATTATAGACCCGTCCACGTATAGCTGTCCACGCATCTGATCTCCTACTGTGCTTCGCCAGTTCTTCTTTTACTACCTAAATTATAATATTAAGTTTAAATTAAAATTAATAACAGAATATACAGTGGGTTTTTTAAATTAGCTTTTCTTTTAGTTTTTACTATTAGATACGTATAGTGGAGGGCCCAGAGACTTTTACCTCGGAATTCAATTACTGTCAATGTATTAATGTGTATTGTGTTTTATAGATAAAATACTAAAATGTTTACCCATTTTTTTTCGTTGCTTTTAATTTTTTATTTTAGTAATTTTAGTAAATTCTTAATTATTTCCTTCTTAATATTTTGATTTTTTTAATTCTTATTCTAAGTAAATTTATTGAAATAAATAAATCTAATACATAAGCTATACCTATTCTGCTTATATTCTAATCATTGAAATTTTGATTGAAATCGAATTATACAGGGTGGCGCGTCATATACGACGCGATTTTTGCAAGGAGAACAAAAGTTCTCTAAAATTAATTTTAATTTTCTAAAATTATGTAGAGTTCTACAGGGTGTCCCCAAAAAAAGTTACACATCAAAGTTATGTTTTTTGTAATGGAACACCCTATATAATAATTGATTTTTGGATTCTAGTAAAAAAATAAAGGTCTGTTTCATTAGAAAAATATATGACTAAAATGTATAGTTTTTGAAATACATTCACCGGCACGAAAAATAGGCACCTTAAAACTTTGATGTATTTTAAAGGTTAATATATTTTATTTTAATGGGCCGATTTTGATGATTTTTTAAGCAGTGTGTTGCCAAATTATTTGACTTCTTAGTATCTTTTTCTAAATTAAAAATGAAACTCCCCATCTGTTAATTATACGAGGAAAAACAAAATGTTGATATTTTTGATGAAAGTTTGAAACGCCCTGTGAAATATGTTAAAACAGCAAGAAATTTAAAAATTATTTTATCATCTAGATACATCCTTTCCCGATGGTTTGTTTTTTTGCTTCATCTCATTAGCTTTATTTTTGTTGGAAATATTCGGTTTTAAAGAAGGCACTAACATTTTTCGTTGCAAAGACTATGCCTTTGCTTTTGGGCCTAGTCAACACATCTAGTAAGTTCTGGTCCCGAAGCAAACCTTATGTCAACTAATAAACTCAGTTAGCATCATCAGCAGATGATTATAAACGTGGTTAGCGAAACGCGCGTCCAGTGTAAAAGTAAAAGTGTTTTGGTGTATTGTGGTGATTTATTGTTTTATTTTGCTAAATCAGATTTTTTTGATTTTAATTCAAAACAATATTTAAATCAAATTTCTAAAATTTAATTAAAATCTAAATTTATATATTTATAATTTATTTATTTTTGTTTCCTAAAATATCTTGATTAAAAGAAAATATATAAAAGTGGACAAACGCTGTCTTTTCTCCAAATAAAATACTTATTTAAGAACCACACTGTATTAATGAGGAAAATGCATGTTTTTAAATAATGTTTTTAAGAAATAGTTCATATAATTACAAATTGAACAAAAAAAATCGTTGATATCGGTTAAGAAATGCCTCTAATATAAAATAATTAAATGTTGTTAATTTAAATGGCCGGGCAAACGCTCTCTACCGCGCCTTGCCGCTGTGACGTCACCCGCCGTTCTTCTGGTTCAGTGGAGCCAGACTTTACACAGTTTGCTTTTAAACGCTGTTGAATCCGAGTCAAAATTTTAGTTATTTGTGTTAATTAATACATAATTAGTAATTAAGGATATTTATAAATAGTAATGGATGAGCGAAAACAGAAAAAAATGGTCCAAGGCCATGAGAAGAGATGAAAAGAAAAACGTTAAATTATCCTCTATTTTTACGATTTATTGTTGTGAAGATCATTTTGATGTAAGTTCATATATTTATGTTTATTGTCTTACATACGTATATGAAATTTGAATGTACAGGGTTATTCATTATATTTTGACACCCATATACAGCCTTAACTGCAAGTTTTAGAAGAAAAGATTAAATAAAAAAGTTGCATGGTTTTTCATATACTCTCTTTTAAAATTAATTCTAGTTATACAGGGTGTCTCAAAAAAGGTGGTGCGGAAAATTGTAGGTATTTTTCGCTTTTCAACTGTCAATATTTCGTAAACATTTGAAGATAGGTATAGGATATTATACATGAAATATATCTAGAAAATCTAGAAATTTCCGAAGAATCCAAAAATATATAGGGTGTTTCACTTAAAAAAGTAACTTAATTTTGGCGTTTGCTTATGGGACACCTTGTATAACATTTTCATTACTGATAAACAATTTATTTCCTATAATTTCGTAAAAAAACAATCTTTAAAAATAACAAGGGTAAGGGGGTGTCAATATATAAAAAAACTTTCTTTTTCACGCTATGCTCTGGAGTTATTTTTCCACGTACTAAACAAATATTTTTGTCTCTTTTCACTTCTACATAACCTACAGCATTATCTCCATACGTCTCCCTACCTGATCTGAAAAATAAGTTTATAACATTAATTTATAACTATATAAAAGTTCGTAACAGTAGGTACTTACTTAAATATGCCTCAGTAGTTATACTTAAATATGCCTCAGCACTACAAAGAATAAATGTTACATACCTCTCTGTTTTTTTCCTCGTAATTCAGCACCAATAAATTGGGAATTTGTATTTATAAAAGCAGTCAACATAAAAGCATGGACTTTTGGCAAGTTATCTGATTGTGCTTTTACAAACCCGGAATCTGTCATTACTTAAAAAATTCTCAGAACACATATAAATAATAACTGCACAAAAAAGCTCCTCCAATCAACGCTAAAAGCAACAAAAATGTCTTAGTACGCCACCTAAATACGTACATAAACGGAACACGTCCACAGAACACACTAAAGAAGAACGCTAACTCCCATGCATTTTTTAGTTTCAAAACGGTTTCAAATTTGTAAAGAAATCTGTAATCTGTATATTGCAGTGGCGCCATCTAGCCACCCAGGAAAGTAACAAATGTGGCGGCAAATTTAAATAGATGCAATTTATTTTTAAGCAAGACGTATGACTTGTTCGCCAGTTAGAGCCAATCAGATTTCTACAAAATAATGTGTAGTCATCTGATTGGTCCCAAGTTGGCAAACAAGTCAAATGGTAAAAAACAAGGATTTATATATAAAGGTTAAACCAGGTTAAACTATTGTAAAGTGTTAAATGGTTGGCTTATATAATTTTATGTGCATAAAAACCTACAATAAATAATTTAATTTAATTTACAGAAAATTATACCATGAAACATTTTACAAACAAATAAAACAACAGATTAAAAAGTATAATATTTATTATAGTACCAGATTTAAGAACACATAAGAAATATCGTTGGAATACAAGAGAAAGTGACGTCCATTAGAAACAATGTTTTATTTACGTGTATTTTTTACATATGGACTTGAACAATTGTGTAATATCACATTGTGGAGTTTATGTACAAAAATATGGAGTTGATCACTTTTTTTTGTAAAAATATATGGCGTTGTAAATATTACATTGTTAAAAAATAAAATTCAGGAACATTTGGACTTGGTTAGGTTACCTCACCTCACTTTCTTGGATTATTAAATACAATTGTTAGATAAATCAAAGACCTTTAACTTAAACCTTACCTTTAATAAAGATCTTAAAAATCAAACACAAAACAAAGTTCAAAAAAATTCAAAAATACAAAATCACGATTGTAAAATGAAGATTGCAAAAAACACAGCCAAACATCCAGAAAACAGCGAAACACACATCTCCGTTCAATTGCAAAACACAACTGAAGAGGAAGGAGGAAGCCGGAAACGGAAAACTGATTTGACATACAGAACAATGACAGAACATAATTAATAGGCCTATTTAGGCAACTATAAAAACAATTTTGTACGCAATTGTTAGGCAACTAGAAAAATTAAAATAAAAAATACGCCATCTAGCGCCCCAGGAAATTACTACCCCAAAAAAAGATCGTTCAAGGTCGTATATCTCAGTTGACTGGCCCTGAACACGTCTGGCTGCTGCTGGCCATCGCGCGTCGACGAGAACGGCGGGTGACGTCAGACCAATAGATAATCGTTTCAATTCGCGAGGCGTCGTTTGCGTTATCCATAGTATTTTAATGGCCCGTTTTATAAAATTGTGGTACTGCTTTCAAGAAAAAAGTTTTTTCTTGCATTTACACATATTTATTCTAATAAATTGAACAGTTTCTGGCGAAAAATAAAATATATGCATCTTCCTCATTGGATTTATTCCAAAACACGTAACTACAATTTAAATTCTAAATTGAAAATCGTTATTTCTTACCGATAAACTGCCGGCTGCGGATCCTAATCCTGTCAAATCCTTGCCAGATGTGCCCAATCTAATCCAGTCCATGAGAGAATGGCCAGGCAGTAACGCGACCTTGTTTCTAGGATTGCCTAGAACAAAAAATAAACAGTTTTTTATAATAAATTTCATAAATTCGACAAAAAAAATTCCGGTAAATATGTATTTTTGCGTGTAATTTTAAGGCCTTCAATATTTCGGTTTATTTTTCGTATAAAACTTTTTCCATTTCACTGAAGAATCTAATTTTCCAAGTTCTCCTTTGAGTACTTTCTGCTTTTTAAAAGTTCAGGAGATGTGAGTCTGTGTTGGAGAGAGGGTTATGAATATTTAAGCACATAACTTTTCTTCGATGGTCTCTAAAGAAATAAACATTTACGGAAAATGAGTAAAATTTTACTTTTAATTTATTTTAAACACCAAAAAAAAACCGTTTTTTTTTCGGTTTTTACACTGAATATTTTTCAGAATAGTATATTTTTAGGACATACATTTATACGAACTTTTTTACTTATTTCTATTTGCAGAATATGTTCGCGAAGTTTACCGAGACCCTGTATAAGGCAGGGGCGTAGATAGGTGTAAGCTATGGGGGTGGTACTATGATTAAGCCGCAAAAAAATCACCGTCGGAATTTTTTTGTCGAATTAAAACGACGGCGATTTTTTTGTCTTCAAAAAATATATAAAAACAAATATAGATTTGTAAATAACATAAACAAAAATGAAACAACGACGTTTATTAGTTAATTTTCTATAAACTATAAATAAAAAACTCTAAACTATCAAAAAAAACTATATAAACTATAAATAAAACTACAAAACAAAATCAAGTTTTCTAGTACGCTGTTTGGAAAACCTATCAATAACAGCATCAACATTTATTTCAATATCTTTATGGATATTGATTAGAGTTAACCCCACTAATCTGTCCTGGCCAATAAGAACACTTTGTATGCTTTTAATTAGATCGAACATATTATAAACGATAAATCAACATAATTAAAAGCATACAAAGTGTTCTTATATGTCGGATATTAATTTAAAAAAATCCTTTCATAGTCAATGACTATTTCAATTCTCGTATCTCGTCAAGCGTCAGGGGGGGGGTACTGTCCCCCAGTACCCCCCCCCCTTATCTACGCCCTTGGTATAAGGTAAGTACAGTAAAAAAGCTATTTTGCTAATGCCTGACGATGTTTACGACGAAAACAGATATTGAATCCTTTCCAGAAAAGTTTCCAAAGATGCAAGGTCGACAAACAGTATAAAGAATTCAGATAAATTTTGAAAGAATGGATAAAATGGATGACCAGAACGTCTACACACAGAATAACAAGTCAATTTATAACAGAAATACCGTATTATCGAAAAAAAACGCCGTCCCAGTCGTCTAGGGAATTATAATCGGAATGATAATTTTGGCAAAACGTCATTTACCAAAAATTGACATAAATCTTGTCAAAAATTACTACTAATTAAACATTAAAAAAAGGATAGAACCCCGTTTCAAGATACACAATTCTATTTCCAAAAAAAATTTTTCTGGAATTTAAACTATACACCAGTTAAAAATCATTTTTACTCAATATAAAAATAACTTACAATCTTCCTAAGCGCCGTTAAAAAATAAAGAAGTGTATAGTCCAAATAAATGACGTATAGAGCTTGACCTCGCCGAAAATTATCACCGATTGTCATTCCCCAGCAGTCTTTGACGGCATTCGTTGAGAATGTCTGTATTCTGTATGTAGCTAAAAAGAAGAAATCGTTTATAAGATGTGTTACATTCTGTCGAATAAACGTACTGCTACAAAGTAACACATTTTACTGCTGTTTGCTGGGGCTGGGACACACTAAAAACTTTATATTTCTTCAAATATGTACGTTGTCCTGCAAGGAATTCAGGAATACGATCGATGGACACTGATACTTTTTCTTTGTCACATGAAAACCTTATTTTAAAGTAGTTTTCAGAAAATATTTTCAGTAAAAACCAGGTTTGGAAAAAATAATGATTTTTTTTAAATAAAAAATCGGTAAAAATAGGTATTTTGAACTTCTAGTTCAGAAATATTTTAGTACTAGGCAGAATAGCTTTTAGGCATATTAGACTAAAATAAAAACGTGGGGCCCCTCTGAAATCCTACCTATGGCAAAGCATATCTTTATACGAGGCATGTTTTTTAAGTAAGTACCGTTTTGGAATTAAAAAAAAACGTGCAAAGATATCGCAATAATTTTATTTTTACATGAAAGCCTGTACCTTAATCTACTTTTCTACATAATTTCCGTGAATATTGAGGCACTTGTCATAACGTGGCACCAGTTTTTCAATACCCTCCTCATAAAATTCTGCCGCCTGACTGGTTAACCACTGTATCACAACTGTTTTGACTTCGTTATCGTCTTGAAGACGCTGACCGCCCAGGTGTTTCTTCAAGTGCAGGAATAAATGGTAGTCACTGGGCGCCAGATCAGGGCTGTATGGAGGATGATCAGAGTTTCCCATTTAAAAGATTTGATGAGATCTTTGGTCCGATTAGCCACATGTGGACGGGCATTATCATGCAGCAAAACAATACCCTTACTCAACTTGCCACGTCTTTTGTTTTGGATTGCACGGCGCAGATTGTTCAATGTCTCACAATAAGATGCTGCCTTGATTGTCTCATTACGAGGCAGAAACTCCACTAGCAATACTCCTTTTCTGTCCCAAAAAACTGCACATGATTCTCCGGGCAGAAATTGTTTGCTTAAACTTCACTGTTTTGGGTGATGATGAATGTCGCCATTCCATGGACTGTTGTTTCGATTCTGGTGTTTCGTAGGCCACCCATGTTTCGTCACCAGTAACAATTTTGTCTAAAAAATCTTCACCTTCATTGTGGTACTGCTCAAGGAAAGTCAATGCACTGCCTAAACGTTGGGTTTTGTGCAAATCCATCAACATTTTCGGAACCCAACGTGAACACAATTTCCGGTAATTCAAGTTCTCGGTCACAATGCGATACAAAACACTACGAGAACATTGAGGAAAGTAGTCGCACAATGATGAAATTGTAAAGCGTCTGTTTTCTTTCACCTCTTTGTCCACTTTCTGCACCGAATCTTCATTAACGACCGAAGGACGCCCACTCCGTTCTTCATCATGCACATTTGTGCGGCCATCTTTAAATGCTCTCACCCTTTTCCTTACCATTCCATCACTCATAATGGTTTGTCCGTAAACTTCACAGATCTCACGATGAATATCGATCGGTTTTACGCCTTTAGCACTAAGAAATCGTATGACAGCCCGTACTTCACAATCGGCGGGGCTCACGATTGTCGGAGGCATCTTAAACACTCAATAAACAACATATACAATGAAGAATCAGACTGTACTGGCGTCTGTGCATAGACAAGAGATGCAGGTAACCAGCGCGCATGCGCGGAACGCCGACCGTAGCGCTGCGGCGGCGGAATCGCAAAACGGTACTTACTTAAAAAACATGCCTCGTACTTTGGTAGATCATGAGCTCGGCGTTCGCTGGTGAAGCCGCCACGGCTGGTTATTGATTGTCAAAATCTCCAGTTACGATTATAGTAAGTCGATGCAATCCACACTTAGTATAGAAGAAAGTATTACAGCAATAATTAATGGGCCCCACGTTTTTATTTTAGACTAATATGCCTAAAAGCTATATATATTCTGCCTAGTACTAAAATATTTCTGAACTAGAAGTTCAAAATACCTAATTGTTATTATTATTTTCTAGTTTTCAGTGCACATAAGATAAAACCGTTTAACTTAAAAGTTTTTTACCGATTTTTTATTTTTAAATAGAAAAACATGTTTCATTATAACAATATAATTTCTATAGTTACTAAAAAGATCAATTTCTTTATTATCCTTCAAAATAGAGATCAAAACGTCAATTCATGGTCAGTTCCATGTCAGTTCCAACAAAGGCTCCAATATATAGCTCCAAGTCTGAATGAAAGATGCCAAAAATCAAATACCCATCGACTTATAATGATAAAAACAAAAAGGAGAAGGTGTCCGAAGACAAACCAAACAGGGAAGATCTTTCCAGGTACAAGAAAAATGTCTAAATTTAGTTAAAAATTTGTATTCTTGTATTTTATAATATATATACAGGGTGATTCAGATTTTACTAGAATAACTTCAGGGATAGATAGAACTAACCGAAATAATGATAGTTTGTATTATAAATTCAAATTTTAGCGCCATTTTACTCCAAGCGGAAGCGTTCTTGGAGTATGGTTTATAATACAAACATGGCTGAGAAACTTAAATGGAAATGACGGTTCATTAAAAATAGTTTTTCCTCCAAGATGCAGAGGCGCAAAATATTAAAACTGTCAATATTATCAATGCAAATGTCAATATCTGACAATAATAAAATTTGATTTTTAACTGTCACTCAGAGACGCTTTTGTGATTTTACGGTTTGATTTCGTTTTGATTTGTCGAATTATTGTAAAATTAAATTCCTTCAGAGTTTTTGCCAGTATTCTGTTTTAGACAATGTTTTTTAAAAATGGTGGGACAATTTGTGTTTTGTATAGACTCTTAATTATTTTTTATCATGGAGTTTAATTGTTGTACACCTGGTTTCCGAAGAATACAATGGTAAGTAAATTAAACATATCTACTTACAGTTATAGATTTTTTAAATTAGTACTGCTAATAAATGCTACTTGCTGAGCAGTTATTTAATATTTTTACGGTGAATTAAGGACGCGCGTTGTGTTATATTAGCATGATCAGCAGATGATTACATCTAATTTAATTTGTTTTTATTATTTCAGGTCTCAAACGGAAACAAACTGGGAATCTTGCCTACACCAAAATTATATAGCCGTTTCCAATTCACTTCAAAGGGAGGAAAATTATGTAAAACTGCCTGCTATTTGCTGAAAACCGCCAAAGATTAAATTATAACTGTAACAACTTAATATATACTATTTCTAGTCTTTTTAATATATTTTTAATTAATATCCGACATAAGAACACTTTGTATGCTTTTAATTAAGTTGATTTATCGTTTATAATATGTTCGACCTAATTAAAAGCACACAAAGTGTTCTTACATGTATGTCTAAATTTATTTTAAATTAACTAAAACAACCCCCCTTCCCCGCACCCCTCTCTTCCATTAGTATTTCTTCCTCCGACTACCAGAGGCGCCCTTGTATAATAAAATTGAAATGTATTATAAGTTGCCTATCTATTTAATAGTATAAGTCTTTTATCTATGAATACAAACTATCATTATTTCGGTTAGTTCTATCGAGATACCTGCAGTTATTCTAGTAAAATCTGAATCATCCTGTATATACAGGGTGTTTCAAAACAAATGCGAAAAACTTCAGGGGGTGATTCCTTGTCTAAAATAAAGGGTAGTTTGCTTTATAAACGTTGGGTCAAAAGTCAACCATTAGGGAGATATCGCGGTACAAAGATGGCGGAAAAATAATGTTTTTATTTTTTATCTTGAAAACGAAAAGAGATAGACTAATGAAATTTTACGGAAGCATTACTGTTATGAAAACACACTTTTTGGTAATTTTTTCACTTTTTTAAAATGAGTGGAAGGGGTTGAAATAAACTACCCCTATCATTCTTGTTAACGAAATTTAAAGAAAAATCTTATCAAACACATGCAAAACAATTACTTTGGATAGTTTAGTTTGTTTAGAAACTTTTTTATCTCTTGTATTTTTTTGATAAAACTCACCGATTTGAAATTAAAAAATAAAATGTAAAGCATTACATGTCAGGACTAAAAATATTTTTAGATAAAGAATCTAGTCGGCCGCTGTCACTTTTTAAGATGTTTCTAATATTGTTTTATTTGACATTACCCTACTGCAATACGTTATTATCTAGATTATTATTATTATCATTATTATCATTATTATTGCTAGATAAGTCGTAAAGTTACTATTTGACAAAATATTACAGTTATCAGTGTATAGTTCACATACAGTATGTCCCTTGATTGTCTTTACAAGAAGAAAAACTTTTTTATTATTGACATTTTAAGAAAAATGTATTCTTCATTCAAATAAAAACATTATTTTTCAGCCATCTTTGTACCGCGATATCTCCCTAATGGTTGACTTTTGACCCAACGTTTATAAAGCAAACTACCCTTTATTTTGAACAAGGAATCACCCCCTGAAGTTTTTCGCATTTGTTTTGAAACACCCTGTATATACTTGTATTTTATAAGTAATATATTTTATCAATTTTTTAGAGCTCTAAACTATCTCTTGGGCGTCTCAGTTCCATTCTTCGTGACCATGTTAGGTATAGTTTTGTATTTTAGTATAATAGGAGATGAATGTTGATATTAATAAAGATATTTTATAATTATTTTGTAGTTTTGCAGTTTTTGAGATAATTGAAACTAAAAGAACTGCCTACCAATTTTTTACTAACATATTTTAGTATACGTGCCTCCCGGCGCCAAATTTTTAGTCAAATTGAACTTAAGACAATAAATAAATAAAAAAACTCTGTATAGGTATATAACAGTAGAGAGTCCAGGATGCTAAATATAAAAAAAATATTATAATATTATGTTAAAAAAATCTATTGCATTTTGAGCAAACCCTTGTTTAAATATTTATAAAAACAAATTTACATTATTTGTGTATTTCCTGTTCATATTATTTTTCACATTTGTGTGCAGATTACTTTTTTAATCTTTATTGAAAATACGAATGAAAACCTCAAATCGTAAAAATAGCTATAGAGCTCACGTAAACAGCGAGAAATGTGAAAATGTATATGGAAATTTATTTGAATTTCGAATGGGGCCATTTCCAGTACAATGAAAAGCTGTTATTGCTAGATAAGTCGTAAAGTTACTATTTGACAAAATATTACAGTTATCAGTGTATAGTTATAGACATTTTGAGAAAAATGGATTGTTCATAAAAATTTTGTACAGGGTGGGTCAAATTCGACGCTTTTAAATGGAAACACCCTTTTCTATAGGAGATAGACGATAACTAGTATCGGTGTCTGGAGCCGAATTTTCATCAAAAACATGATGGTGAAAACCGCACATCAATATCTGTTACCGTTTCGGAGTTACGGGGTGTTTTTCAAAAGTGTGCATTTTTAACAAATCGCTGTAACTTTTTTGCTATGGAAAATTTTGTATTTCAATGAAAACATTTCCAAAGCATCTTTTTACGTAGAATTTAATGGTTTAAGTATAATTTTTTTAAAATTAATAATTTACGGGTTATCAACAGAAAATTTGATTTTTTATTCGGGACACCCTCTGTATTTTTAATTAACTGAAAAGAATTTAAAATTACCTTTTCAAAAATATAGCACACTTGATATTTTGTTATAATCCTCTCCGAAATACAGAATTTTTAAAAGTTCGCCACTTTTAACTAGTAGGCTTTGGACCCCTTACTGATGATATGCCCTTAATGAAACTCGAAAACATATTTTTCCAGCAAGACGACGCACCGCCTCTGAACGCTGAAGTTATCAGCAAATTTTTGCAGCAAATTACAAAAATAATCGAATAACTAACCAAGATCCCAGCCGTTGGCCGTCGAGGCCGCCTGACTTAGTGCCCATGGAACTAATCCTACGGATATATTTGCGGAAGAATAAAGGTTTCTTATTCTTCCGTATAATCTAGACAAGAATTAGAAATACTTAGCAGTTAAGAGAGGGTATCTTTCACCCCCACTGAGTTAATGAATTCCGCGAGAAATGTTCAAAAACTACCCCGTCTGTCCATAACAGAAGACGGTCGATATGTCGAACACCTGTAGCAAAATCTCATGTCTTGGTTTGCCATTTATTTTTATTGTTATTAGATATAGTTTAAATGTGTTGATGTTGGTTAAATATATTTTAAATTGTTGTAAAATTCTGCACCTCTCATAGCAAATATTATTTTCGTTTTAACTGATGCTCACAGCTAGAATTTTTTTGCATTACAGCCGGTGCCGTTCAAAGCCTACTTATTTACAGCGGAAGAATTTTTATATACTCTATATCTCGAGGAGGAATCGAGCAAAATATCAAGTGTGTTATATTTTTGGAAAGGTAATTTTAAATTATTTTCAATAAATTAAAAATATACAGGGTATCCCATATAAAAAATCAAATTTTCTGTTCATAATTCTTAAATTATTAATTTTAAAAAAATTATACTTAAACCATTAAATTCTACGTAAAAGGTACTTTGGAAATGTTTTCATAGAAATACAAAATTTTCCATAGCAAAAAAGTTACAGTGATTTGTTAAAAATGCACATTTTTGAAAAACACCCCGTAACTCCGAAACGCTAACAGATATCGATATGCGGTTTTCACCAGCATGTTTTTGACAAAAATTGAGCGCCAGACACCGATATTAGTTTTTGTCTATCTCCTATAGAAAAGGGTGTTTCCGTTTAAAAGCCTCGAATTTGACCCACCATTGTACTAAAATGGTTAATCCCGTTTATATTTTTCCAAATTTCCACACCGTTTCAGAGAAAATTAGAAAAAACATGAAAATAAAGTCTTAAAAATCAAAGAGTATAAATGTATATATATAATATATAAAGAGTTTTTTTTAAACAGTTACTTATTCTTACCAAACTCGTCCTCCTCATCTTTCTCACACTCTTCATCTTCATTGTGTTGATTTATACAATCTTCAACGTTAAAAATCTCAACGTTTCGACTATTTTCCTTCTTGATTTCGTCATCGTCAGACTCTTCAGAACGATTCTTCCAAGTCCAGCAGCAGCATTTCGTAGATTTTAACTTGCAAAACATCGCTTCGCGATCAGAATTCACTCGGACGCATTATTTTTTAATCTTTGCTATAGTTTTTTCAAGTTCCTATAAGACACTGATAAAAAAAATTGACGACAATGAAAAATTTTGGGGCTAATCATCAGTTTGTGCTAATGAAAAATTTACCCAAACCTATGAAACCTCCTACATACAGGGTGTTTCGAACTGTATTCCAGAAACTTCGGCAGCATATTCTGCAGATAAAAATAAGTAAAAAAGTTCCTATAAATATATGTTCTAAAATGCTTAGATTTGGAGATACAGGGTGTAGAAGTTTCATTTTTATTTCAATTTTTTTCAGATAATTTAAGTAATGTCAATATTTTTTACGTAAAAAACGCCGCGAATGTATATTTTTTACTACGTAGTTTTATACAGGTACGCTCGAAAACTTATTACTCTCCAAACCAGTTAAAAAATATGTAGGTGGCGCCTCCTACATGTAGGTGTCATATTGACATCAAAATCAAATTTCTCATGTCAAAAATCTCCCAGACACCAATTTTCATCCAAATATTGACGTTACTTCAGAAATTATATGGAAAAAATCGAAATAAAAATGAAATTTCTACACCCTGTATCTCCGAAACTAAGCAAAAATGTAAAGCATTACATGTCAGGACAAAAAACATTTTCTGATAAAGAATCTAGTGGGCTGCTGTAATTTTTTTAGGAAAAAATTTAGTTTTTAGGAAAAAATTTACTTTTTAGGATGTTCCTAATATTATTTTATTTGACATTACTCTACTGCAATACGTTATTATCTAGATGATTATTATTATCGTTATTATCACTAGATTCTTAATCTAAAAATGTTTTTTGTCCTGACATGTAATGCTTTACATTTTATTTTTTAATTTCCAATCGGTGAGTTTTATCAAAAACACAAGAGGTAAAAAGTTTTAAACAATCTAAACTATCCAAATTAAAGCATTTGCATGCGTTTGATAAAGATTTTCTTTAAATTTCCTTGTTCAAGAATAATAGGGGTAGTTTATTTCATACCCCTTCCACTCATTTTAACCATTACCTGAAAGTGTGTTTTACATAACAGTAATGCTCATAAAAAATAAGTGTATCTCTTTTCGTTTTCAAGATAAAAGATAAAGACTATTAAAATTTTATGGCCATTACTGTTATGAAATCTCTCCTTTCTGGTTGACTTTTTGACCCAACGTTTATAAAGCAAAACTACCCTTTATTTTGAACAACCCCTATCACCCCCTTAAGAAATTTAAATTTGTTTTGAAACACCCTGTATATATTTTACAATTTATTTTTTTATTTATTTTACAGAGTTTCATGTAAATGATCGTAAGTCGACTGGCTGTCTAATGAATAGACCGAGATTTATAGATTTTAAAGCAAACGAAAAAAAAATCAAACAACGAATACATACCATATATTTTTCTTTTATCTAAGATACATACCTTATCGTCTTTGGAAATACGTGCATTTTGCAGTTTTGTTAGTTTCTTTGCAAGATGCAACACAACAAGAAAACACCATTTTTACAGTTAATAAATAATAAAACTATTTCTGACTATGATATTTAAAATTTAGATCGATAGAAAATTAAAAAACAAACCAGTATTTGCAGACGCAGGCCGAAAAATTCAATAAAAATCAAAATTTTTCCTGCGAAAATCAGCAGCTTTTATCAGCAGTCATTGTCAAGTTGACAATATACAGGGTGTTTTCGAATTAGTCTAAAAAATTATGGTGTGATTCCTCATGTGTTCTTAAAACAATTTTTATATAACCATTAGGTCTAAAGTACTTCCTTTCCGATCTACAGGGTGTTAAAAATTAAAAAAATCGATTTTTGCTTAACATAAATGGTACACCACTGCTTTTTGAAAGAAAAAATATTTTTTCTTGACTGGTCATCTTTTTCAACAAAATTGATCTTTGATTTGACTTACCTGCTTCAGTAGCGTATCGGATGTTTGTGTTAATAAATACTTATTATAACTTATCTATTTTTATCAGAATTATATATTTTTATAACAATTTTAATAACTACCAACATTTATTCACAACGTAAAATAAAACAACAAATTATTGAGTCTACCCCACGTCTACCCTACATCATAGTTTTACATTTTTTAAATAAAATTAGAACGACACTGATAAACCGGAATTTAAGTCGGCCATATTTGAGGCCCATCGCGGTGTACCTAAGATTTTTGATATGCTCCTTCCTAAAGGTTTCCAGGCAATGTACTTATCTCTATTTGCAGAATATACTACCGAAGTTTCCGGAATACAGTTCTGACCACCCTGTATAAACCTAAACCATGTTTTTCTGAACTTCTTAAATTATAGAGTGAAATAAAAAATCAAAAAACATTTTCTTTCTACATTACCAAAACTGATGAAAAAAATAAATCTTTTTATACCTACTCTAAAAGCAAGTATACGCCCAAGCACCCCAATGTTTCTTTTTGTTATTTTTTCGTAGAAAAAAAACACAAAATCTTAAAAGAAAATATTCCTCGCACCTCACACCTTCTCCACTTTTTATATCTTTCTTTTA